GGAGTCCGCTGCCCTGCCGTACCTGCGTTCTAGGCGCCGCCCTCGGAACCAGGAGTCGGAGACTCGGGCTCCCCACCAAGGCCTTCAAGGGCGGGACGAGTAATCGCTGCATCCCGAGGACAGCGCGCGGCCGCCACTTGCACTCGCCGCGCCCCGCGGTCTCCTTTCCCGGCTTCAGAAACCGGAAGCACTTCGAGTCACGCGGAGCCGGCTCTTCCTCCGGAGACCGCGGGGTGAGCCGCGACTGCGCCTGCGCTAGCGACCCGGTGTTCGCGGGGGCTGCTGGGGCGCGGGCGTCGGGGACGCGCAGGGGCGCGCGCAGCGGCGGGAGCAAGCTTCTCGGAGCGCGCGCGTCGAGACGCCGACTGAGTAGAAACTGAAGACTGGCGAGGGAGGAGCCCGGGCAGGATGAAGCGGCAGGGGTCCTCCTCCGAGCGGACCCGAGCGCGGCCGTCGTCCGGGNGGGAAGGCCGGTGCGGAAGGGGCGGGGAGGGGACGGCCGGCCCGCCTCGTTCCCCGGCGGGCTGGAGGGGGTTCCGACCCGTGGGTTAATCGCGATTTCCCTCGGGCACCGCTGCGCGACACGTTCTGTCATTCCGGCTTGAAACACGTGGAGACCGGTGCCCGAGAAGGAGGTAGCGAGGGTGGCCCGCCTCTGGAGCCAGATGTGTGGGTTCGAATCCCGGCGCCACCACGTATCGTCGCGCAACCGCGTTCAAGTTGGTTCATTTCTCTGAGCCTCGCGGGTCCCGTCGCCACCCGAGGCGCTGTACCCCCGTGGCGGCATCGCTGTGATAGGTCGATGTCGCGTGCTGAGCGCAGGGCCTAACCTGTGTGACCTGTAGCTGCTGCGGCGGGGGTGGGGACGCGCTCCAAAGCCACACGGCTGCCGGTGGCAGAGCTTGTGGCTGCCACGAGTCCCGAGCTCTCCCGGTCGCGCCAGGGTGGGGCCGCGTGGCAGGCGCTGGGATTTGGCAGCTCCCGCCGTGAACTCCTGGCTCCTGACCAGCGCTGCTCAAAGGTTTTGATCCCAGGATCCCTTTACCTTCCTAAAAATTATTGAGAACCTCAAAGAGTTTTTATTTATAGAGTTAAGTCTACTGATACTGACTGTATTCGATATTTATTAACTAGAAAATAACCATAATAAACCCATTACTTGTTAACCAAAAAACTTTTTTTTTTCTTCTGAAAAGGAACTATTTTCCTCAACAAATAAACAAAATAGAATAGTGCCAGTATTTTGTATTTTTGCAGATCTCTACTGTGTGACTTAATGGAACTTTCATACCTGTATTCTTAGACCTGCTTCCGCATTCAATCTGGTATGTCAGGTAGCCTCCCAAAAACTCCACTTGTGAAATAATGAGAATGAAAAAGGCAGATAAAGTTTTAATATCATGATGGAAATTTTCACTGCACAGACTCTGAAAGGATCGGCTAAGATTATAAGACCCCTAAGGCCCCCAGAGCTAAATGACCTTCCACACTTTGAGAACTGCTGCTCCAAACAAGTATCTTTTTCTTTGATCCCTACAAATAACTCCGTTTCCTAGGACAGCTGCCTTATTCCTTCTGTCATAGCCTTTTGGGTGCATCCCCACCCTCTCCTATCCAAGGCCCTTTGTTGCATGAGGCAGATGGTACCCCTCCAGTTAGAATGACCTGACAGCTAGTGTGGGTGGCTATCAGTAAACTCATGGAATTGATGCAGCACTGTTGGTTAAGAGCTGAGGGTGGCACTTAACTCACTGTTTGAGACTGATAGTCTTCTTTTAAGTAAATGAGACAGTTGCAACTTGATATTAGCAGATGATAGATTTTTGTTTTTCAAATTAAAAATTGCTTTTAAAAAAATGATAAAAGCAATATTGGGTAGGAAAAAATCAAGCAACATAGGAAAATAAAATGAAGATAGTAAAGGCATTCCAAACCCCAGCACTTAGTTATCATCGGTATGTGGTAACCATTCCTTCAGGTATTATTGTATAAAGCATGCATTCAAAATTCTTAATTTTAAAAAATTATGTGCTTAGCTTATAGAAAAAACTCAAAACTATTTTCATCATATTTTTTAGTGTAGATATGTGACTTTTTATACACTGTGCATACTGTGGATGATAATAAAGATTCTCCTGTAGAGGCCTTACTTCTGCCCTGTCTGGGTGGCTCATTTGGGTAGAGCATCCTCACAATACTCCAAGGTTGGGGGCTTGATCCCTGGTCAGGGCACATAAAAGAATCAACCAATGAATGCACTAATAAGTGGAACAACAGATAGATGTTTCTCCTTTCTCTCTCCCTCCCTCCGTCCCTTCCCCTTCCTCTCTCTCTAAAGTCAAAAAATAAGTTAAAAAATAACCTTTGAGGGAAAGAAAGATCTTACTTTGGAACTTTAGATCAAGTAAGAGTGATCAGACACTTATCTACATAAATAATAATCGAAAATAGTGTTCTGAAGAGATACAATTAGTGTTTTAAAGAAGAACGTAACTTATAAAGAGTTATATGAGTTCAAAAAAGGGAGATACAATTTCCTACTTTGGGAAAGAGGAAGTATCATGGAAATACGATTTGACATGAGTCTTGGAAGAGTTTAGCAGTCAAAGATGGAGATAGAAGAACTTTGTGGATTGAGGAGATGCATAAGCAAAAGTAGGGATGGGGATTAGAAGAACTGGAAGCATATAGAGAATACTGTGTAGTGAATTACTGGTCATTTGAATTTTGGCAGCAAAATATAAAATGTTAGTGGTAGATTGGTCTGGATGAATAGTGCCATCATGGTATTTATTGCACTGTTTTTTTGTGTATTTTAGGAACAGCAAATGGATTTCTCATGGAAGTGTGTGTTGATTCGGTGGAATCAGCTGTAAATGCAGAAAGAGGAGGTAAGAGAAATTAGAGGATGAATGACAGTTTACAGTCCTCTTAAGAGTCTGAAAATGAATCCTGTGAACTGATCTTGGGAGCTTTTGTGATTGGGAAGAATCCTAGTAATTCTTTTGGAAACAACTAACCAACTAGAAAACTTACTGGAAAATTATGATCTTCTAGTCTTACTCCCCTTGTAGGTCACATTTTGAGTGAGTATCCACAAAGTGCTTACTCCCCAACTTCATTTTATTATTGAACTTAGCAAAGATTTAATTTTTTTCAAACCACTGATTTAAAGATGATTTTAGAGATTTGTTGCCATTTTTGTTATTAGTACTTCTAGCTTATATATATATTTACATTATCTTTACCTCAGAGTTTCTTTTGCACTGGGAAACTGTTTTAATAAGAAACATAGAAATTCCTATCATTTCAGGACTGGGAAATTTTTTTTAACTTTTTATTATAGAAAATTTCAAACATATACAAAAATAGAATAGTATAATGAATCCCCACGTACCTGTTACTTAGCTTCATCCATTTTTGGTACATGGCCAGTCTTTCATCTATTTTGTAAGGGGGGGCGGTCTGCATACTTTTTTGTAAAGAGCAACATAGTATATATTTTCAGCTTTGCTGGCCACATTTGGACTTTGTCGCATCTTCTTTGTTGTTTTTTAAAATATTTATTTTTTTTAATTGATTTTCTTTTTTTTTGAGAGGGAAGTACACATCAATTTGTTGTTCCACTTATTTATGCATTCGTTCATTGATTCTTGTATGTGCTCTGACTGGGGATCAAACCTGCAACCTTAGCATATCCAGACGACACTCTAACTAGCCGACCTACTTGGCCAAGGCTGCATCTTCTTTGTTTTTTTTAAATAATCCTTTAAAAATATAAAAACCATTCTTTTTTTTTTCTTTCTGATTAGTCTTGTTTTTTTAAATTTTATTTTTGTTTAAAATATTACAGGTGTCCCTTCTTCTCCCCAATGACCCACTCCACCTTGTCCTACTCCCCTCCCCAGTCCCTCTCCCCACCATTGTCCGTGTCCTTGTGCATATAAAAATGTAAAAACCATTCTTAATTTGGCAATAAAAAACAATGAAGTACTGGTATGGTACATGCTGCAACATAAATGAACGTTGAAAAATTATTCTAAGTGGGAAAACAAATAGTAAAAAAAAATACCATGTATTGTATGATTCCACTTATATGAAATGCCCAGAACAGGCAAATTCATGGAGACAGAAAGTAGATTAGTGGTTGCCTGGGGCTGAGGAACATGGAGAGAGAGGAAAGTGACTACTAAAGGGTTCAGGGTTTTGGGGGGTTGATGAAAATATTCTAAAATTGATTATGGTAATAATGGTTGCAAAACTCTGTGAGTATGCTAAAAACCATTGAATTATACACTTGAAATGGGTGCATTGTATGGTATGTGAATTATATGTCAGTAAAGATGTTATTTTTGAAAAACACAAACTTTTTAAACTTGCAGACCACAATAAAAATAAACTGTGGGCCTTTGGCCTGTGGGACATTATTTACTGACCCCTGGTCTATATAACTACCTTCCCTCCTCCACCCCCAGATTATTTTGAAGCAAATACCAGATATGTCATTTCATCCTCAAATATTTTAGTATGTATCCCTAAAAGTACTATTAAAAAAATAACCATAATATCACTAACATATCTTAAAAAATAATTTCTTAATATCATCAAAAATACCCAGTTTTCAGATTTCTCCTATTAGCTCATAGAGTTTTGTTTTGTTTTGTTTTACAGTTCTTTGAATCAAGAGCCAAACATTTGTTTCCCTTCTATCTTTCTTTCTTTTCTTTCCTTGTAGTTAAAGAAACTGATACATCTTTTAGAGTATTCTACAGTCTCAGTTTTGCTGATTGTTTATGTACTGTCATTTAATATGTTCTTGTGACCCCTATATTTCCTGTGAACTTGTAGTTAACCCAAAGGCTTAATCAGATTCATATCTAAGTTTTTTATAAGACTACTTTACAGATAAGTACTCCCTGTTGCATCACACTAGGAGGATAACATCTTAGTTTTTTTCTGTTTTTGTGATATTAAGATTGATCAGTAGATTCAGATATTGTCAGCTTCATCCATCCTTTAAAAGGTTGCTCGTTAGCTCTCATCTAACAGTTTTAGGTGTATTTCAGTAGGGTTTCCAAAATAGTATAATAGTTAAGTTTAGCTATTTACATTTATTAGCAGTCTACTTCTATAAAGAAGAATTTTCCCTCATCAGCTGTTTGGGTGTCCTGAGGCTCAGTTAGTACAAGAAGGACAGAATGAATACTTGCTTCTTTTCCCTTATTTACTGATTTTTGGGATAAAGAGTTTGTCCTCTATTCTTCAGCGAATTATATTATTATGAACCTAGATTTAAACATATTTGATGTATTTTAATGCCCTGTAGTTATTCTTATTGATGCTCAAAATGTCCCATCTTTGGCTGGTAGGGAGGGGCCTTTTCAAACTAGTTCCTGAGACCTTTTGACATGACCCCATAGTCTGATAATTCTTTTGCTTTTAGTATTTTCTTTTTCTTGAAATTATCTTGTTACGCTATTTAAAATAACTACTTTTTTAAAGCTTAGAATAATTAAGACTCTCTTGGAAAACATTGTTATTTTCTTATTAATGAAGATTCAAGAGTTCCACTGTGGTCAGTTTAGAAACTTCTTTATTCTAAGTCACTTCCTTATACAGGGAAAGGCAACACTATGAAACAGAATTTTAAGAGACCTAGCTTAACTTGAGTTAACTCTTAAATTTGACTACCAGTAACTGCGAGTTGGAAAATATAGCTGGGATTAAAAATAGACTTTTACTCTAGTTTTATAATTTGATTTCTCTCAGTTTCTACAATTCTGTTTTATATTTGGAAAAAAATATTAAGTTTGCTGTTTAATAAGAGTTTATTTTGGGCAATAATTTTTGAGCAATGCTTTACATTTTTTTAATTAAAAATTTTTTTAATTAAAAATATTTTGTGCTGAGCAATGTTTTTTTTTCTTTTTAATCACAGGTGCTGGTCGGATTGAATTATGTTCTGGCTTAATGGAAGGAGGAACCACACCCAGCATGGGTAAGTGTCCATTTTTTGGATTGCCTGGAGACAATTGGTAATCTGCTTCATTGGACTCCTTTACTGATGTTACTAACATGTTAACTATGCTTTGGATATTGTATCAGTTAGAAATGCTTCTGATTATAAATAAACTTGTCTATCAGAGATATGATCAGGTAGATTTTTTTTTTCTTGTACATCAAAAAGTTGAGAGATAAGTAGTTGCACTTAATATTGGTTCAGTTGCTGTGCAGTAATATCAAGGACTGGGGTTTTTTATCATTCCATTTTGGCATCCTCAGTTTATTGACTTTTGTTTTCATTTCTCCCTTCCTGGTCTTTGTGTTACTGACAGACCTTTTACTTCTACATATGTTAAGAACTCCACACTACATTGTTGTTGTTATTATTTCCACTGAGGCATTTTATTTGCACACATGTATTGCATCCCTAGAAAAGAACCCCAGGATCTTCCCTCCTGTGTGTTTTGGCCTTGCTTCTTCATGGTCCGTGATGCCCACTGACATTGTCATTACAGCAAAACCAAACTGATGGCCTGGGTGCAGGTTAGCCTGCCATTTTCTAGATCTTTCAGTTACACATCGAATCTGGGACTGATCACTCCACACTTGTTTAACCTTCCCATGCGGTTCACAACAATCTTCACAGCTCTGTGATTTTTCTCTCAAAGAGTCAGTTATCTTTTAAAGAGATTGAAATAATAAGAGAACAATCACATTATTTACCCACGCATAGTTACCATTTCTGGTGTGCTTCTGTTGTGTAGATTTATATTTCCTTCTGTTTTTATTTTCCTTCTGCCTAAAGAAATTCTTTTATCATTTTTTTATAGTACAAGTGTGCTGGTGATTAATTCTTTCAGCTTTTGTATGTCTGAAAACATCTTTCCCTATTTTTGAAAGATTTTTTTTGAGCGTAGAATTCTAGGTTGACAGTTTTTTTCTTTCAGTACTTTAAAAGATGTTTCTTCACTCTCTTGCTTGTATTGATTCTGACAAATCTGCTATCATCCATACCTTAGCTCTTCTCTATGTAACATGTCTCTTTTCTCTGGTTGCTTTTATGATTTTTTTTCTTTATTCTTGGTTTGGAGCAATTTGATTATGATGTACCTGAGTGTAGTTTTCTTCACGTTTCTTAGACCTGTGTATTTATACTTTTTATCATATTTGGATGTTTTCAGCATTCAGTGTCCTTTACTCCCTCCTTTAGAGACCAATTATACTTAAAATAGAATATTTTCAATTCAATATTTGATTATATTTGTTTTACAATTCACTGATGAACTACTCTTTTTTTAAGTCTTCTTTTTCTCTGTTTCATTTTGCATAAATCCTGTTGCTTTGTTTTCAAGTTTCCTAATCTTTCCTCTGCAATGTCTAATCACTGTTAATCCTGCCTAATGTGTTTTTCATCTTACACATTGTAGTTTTCATCTCTAGAAGTCTGAGTCTGTGATGTAGCTTCTTAACTTTTTTGAATGTATGGAATAAAGTTATAATAGCTCTTTTAATGACTTGGCTGCTAATTCTAACACCTGTGTCAGGTCGGTTTTGTTTGATTGATTTATCGCCTCATGATGTGTCTTGTTTTCCTGCATGATAATTTTTTATTGTATGCAAGACATATGTTTCTTTGAGGTTGATGATAGCATTATTTAGTATAAAGGTTTATATGTGCAATAGAACATATCTATAAATTTGACTGCAGTCTGTTTTTTTTGCAACAGCAATCATGATTCATTGCTTGGTGCTGGGCATATTGCTGTCCCATTCAGAATTGGGGTTTCTTTTAGCAAGGAAGACGAAATACATTCCTATCGGGTAAACACTAATGGTACTTGCCGCAGATCGTAAACTATTGAGGAATTCTGAGCTAGCCATGAATTGTGTCATATTTAGGCACTTTTATTCATAGGTCATATTTAGGCACGTTTATTCATAAATCACAAGTAAGTACAACTTTGTTCCCTTTAACATATCTGTTTCGAAAAAGGGCTTTGCTAAGTGACTGTCCATAAACATCTCTGTAGTAGGTTTTAAATAGAGCTTTAATCCATTAGAAAGGAGAAACTGGATCTTAGGATTACACTGGCAGAACATTGAGCCTGGTAGTTACTACACTTTCAAATGTTACATACCAGTAAAAGAATTTTCGTTGTCAGCTGACAAGTGCTTTTTAAATGCAGTAACTTCCTTCTGTTTTCTAAGTTGCTTTTTTTTACCTTTGATTTTCTTATTACTTAACTTCTATGTCTACTTTTTTCTTCTTAGCATCCTTCCTTTTAAGTCTACATTTCTCTGGTTTCCTCAGTCAACTCCTTCTTTTCTAGAAGTGATACTATCATAAGAGCATATGTAAAAGACCAATAATATTTTATTGACTTCCTTGAGCTTCTAGCTCACATTTGCATTTTAATTAGTCTGATTCCTGTTCTTGTAGGTGTCCTTCAAGTAGTGAAGCAGTGTGTCCAGATCCCAGTTTTTGTGATGATCCGGCCACGCGGAGGTGATTTTTTATATTCAGATCGTGAAGTTGAGGTGATGAAGGCTGACATTCGTCTTGCCAAGCTTTATGGTGCTGATGGTTTGGTATTTGGGGCATTGACTGAAGATGGACACATTGACAAAGAGCTGTGCATGTCTCTTGTAGGTAAGAATTTGTATCTGAGACCAAAAATCCTCTAATGATGATTGCATTTAATATTCCCAATATAGAAAACCACCATCACAAAACTGACTTTTCAGTCACACCTGCAGACACTTAAACTAACCTATAATAAACAGTAGTTATTTAGATGTTTGGGCAGGGGGTATGTGTGGCATAGCCTTCCTCTTTTCAGTTGCTATAGATCAGGTTTCTACTGTTCCTGAAGGGTTAAAGGGAAGTTCACCTTGATTCCTTTAATTATTGCACCAAAACCCACAAAAGCTATCACATTTGGTGAGGATGGCAAGATATGGAGAGGACAGAAGTAAACTATCTGTATTCTCAGAGGAGTGAGTAATAAATATAATACTGTTCTTATCGTTGTCAGATTATATAGTTTTTATTTGGTGCCTCTAAGGAGTGGATGGTCTTTTTTTATATAAAAATCAGAGATTAATGGAAACAGGACTTTTGAATTCGGAAGGCTGCCATTTTATTTCGGTTCACTTAGAGGAGGTTATATAAGTCCCATCTAACATGGAGAATTCTGTGTATAGTAATCAGTGATGATCTCATCATTCATGTTGTTATGTGATTCTCTTCTATAGCTATGTGCCGTCCTCTGCCAGCCACTTTCCACCGAGGTGAGTCTTTTCCATTTTAGAAGGTCTATTGAATACCATCGACAGTTTTTTAATTTCACCAAATGCCACAACCTTTTTTGGGAACACAATTCTATAGTGTTACAGTGTTATCAATTGGTTTCTTTATACTAATCCTGGGAATAACAGTTGTAAATTTAGGAATGCACAATTTCTAGAATATATGAAGCCTTAGTTGTGAAAAGTTGTTGAAAATAGAAGGTGGTAAAAGAATACGGAGGGGACAGAGTAAGCATTGTCTACAAGTGTGTGTACTTGTCACAGCATTCTAACCAAGAATCCTGAGATTCATTTTTATTAGATTGCCTTGGCTATTATGCAACCCACAAAAGAATAAATTACTGTGGCCAGTGAAATGAAATTTACTGCCAGTTAAGCTAGACAAGACTATTCCTGGAGCTAGGAGTGAGGTCAGCTTCTCCAGAAGAATATATGATTCACAGGCAAAGAGGGGGTGCATATCTGAAGAATTGGATTCTGTTAGGAAGGAGGAAAGAAGAAATAGATGCTGGATAGTCAATGAACAGGATAGTCAATGTACTTCACTACAGTACACAAAATTACATTATTTTAAAAAAGTATACATCTTTATTGTTTTCAGAGAGAGGAAGGGAGAGAGATAAAAACATCAATGATGAGTCATTGATTGGCTGCCTCCTGCACTCCCCCTACTGGTGATCGAGCCCACAACCCCAGGCATGTGTCCTGACTGGGAATCAAACCAAGACCTCCTGGATCATAGGTGGATGCTCAACCACTGAGCTACGCTGGCTGGGCATTTTACATTATTGATAGCTTATCTACATCAGAATAGTTTCTAACATGTATCTAATTTCTTATTAAAGTACTTCCTGTCTATAAATTAGAGAGTTATAATTTCTATACACTTTTGTCAAACATTGGTAAAGTGAAGGAACAAGTGTCAATTTTGCCTTCAGAGGGCACTGCTATTGCACAAGAGAAGAAGGAAGTCTTCAGTCAATTTTTTTTTACTTGATAATATGCTTGAGAAATTGTTGAATATTTTTCTGACCTTTTGGAAGCATTCAGAGGTAAGGATAAGAGTAGACACCAGCACTTGCATCTATTTATATAAACTAGAGGTGAAGCATTTATTACCTTATTTTTCTTTACATGGATAATAAGTACCTCCAGAAAACTGTTTTCTTGACTTGCTGTTTAGCGATGCTTCTCATTAACTAGCAATAACTAAAAGATGTTAGATTGCTTAAAAGTCAGCCTTGAGGCTAGTCAAAAAAAAGTTTTAAAATATGACAAGTGATTTTAATCAGTAAACATTTAGCTGAAAAACATATAGTTTAAAATTTGACATTGTAAATAATTCAAAATAAACCCATCATATTGAATGTATTTTTTTGTTCTTAATCTAAGAAAATTATTTCAAATTTCTGTTCTTTTCCTTTGCAACCACTAAACTGACTTTTCAGTCACACCTGCAGGTACTTATACTAACCTATTTGTATAAGTTTATTAAACTATTCAAAGTTTAACAAAAATATTTTCATGTTCTCAAAATTTTATATTGGCCTGGTTTCCACATTTTTTTCACTCATGTATTTAATGAGATAGTATGAGAGTGTAATCACTGATGAGGAGGTGCTGCCATCAAAAAAGGAAAACCCTTTATAGTAGATTTAGCTGCCTCCATAGACTTAAGGGTGAAAGGAAGGGGTCTAGCACCTAACCCTCATGTATTTGAACTTCCACATCACATAGTAGCACTGAGAACCAAAGAGAAGTAAGTGTTCTGAGGGTCCTAGTGCCACTTTCGTTTCTGAGGAGGAGAGAGTTCTTTTAGAAAGTAGGGCAGTCTGTTGTAAACAGCTGTCTCTGTGCAGTGAGCTGTGGGCATGCAGGGTAAATAGGTTAGTACAAACTATTGGTCAATAACAAGAATGTGAACCAAGGCCTTTTTTAGGACTGGTGAGTCATGTTTCATTCTACTTATTCAGTTTGTCTGGATCCTCAGGGCAGACTTTCCCAAATTTGAGTCACTTGAGTCACTTGCATTCACAATTTTACCGTACCTGATTGTGACCTGTGCAAATTTATTTAATAATTTTCTTAAGACAAATCCTAAAAAATGTTTTAAAGAGAAACTTCTGTAACTAATGAGAAATAGAAACTTCTCACTCTGATCTGCATTTAAGGAAATGCATTTCTTCAAATGTGTTCCACCTAAGTGACCACGCATACCACCGGCTGTGTTCGGACTGTGGTGTGCTGGCAAACTGGCTCTTGGGGAAAAAAGAGCCCTGATTTGTAGCATTTGCTGATTTCTGTGGTTTAAATACTCCCACATTGCCCTGGCCAGTGTGGCTCAGTTGGTTGGAGCATCATCCTGTACAGTGAAAGGACACGGGTTTGACTCCTGTCAGGGCACATACCCAGGTTGCAGGTTTGATCCCCAGTTGGGGCGCATATGGGACGCAACCAATTGATGTTTCTCTCTCTCCATCCCCACTCTCTAAAATCAATAATAACGTATCCTCAGGGGAGGATTAAAAAAGTACTCCCATCTTACGTGATTTCAAGCTGCCAATGGATTAACAGTCATGCTTGCAAAATTTCTGAATATTTAAGTCGGCTCTTGCAAGCCAGTACAAGCCAAGTCCAGCACACCACTGTGTATATACTACATTTTAGAAATCACTGTGTTCGTGATATCTGTTCAAAATTTAAATCAAATTTTTTTTGTTTCAGCTTTTGACATGGTTCACGATCCAATAGCAGCTCTAGAGACTCTCTTAACCTTGGGATTTGAGCGAGTGTTGACCAGTGGATGTGACAGTTCAGCACTAGAAGGGCTGCCTGTGATAAAGCGACTCATAGATCAGGTACACACAATTTCTTTTCTTCGTAAGACTGTTGTGGTTACTCCTGATATTCTGCTGTACAGCTAGGTTGTGAAACTAAATATTACTTACTTTGTGTTTATAAGAAAAAGCAAGCATGCAATAATATATTTGTATAATTCGTATTTCTTTCACATGAACTTTTTTAGTAACCAAGGGTCTTAAGATCAGATTATAAACAATGCCTAAGGATATTATCTAATTTGGGTAACCAGAGCAAATTTTACTTTTTCTCTGCCATCATCATTGCATAGTTTTAAGCCACATCTTCCCACTGGCAGCCTTTGTATACTCAGGGGATCCCATATAAAATTTGAGATAATTATCATTTTAGATGAATTCTAAAACTAAAGCTCTATTGTTCTCTCATCTCTTTCTGTGTATCAAGATAGGAGGAAATGTAATATTTTTCTCATGTATGCCCTGGTGCATTAGCATCATCTGTAGGGCAGTCGGAAGATGGCTTTGTTATTGGGGCATGTCTGTTTTTTCTGACATCAATCCAGAGGCATGGATTTTGAGAAGTGAGAGCTCTGGATTTGAGACTCAGATTTGAAATTTATTTGCTGGTAGTAATGTTGAGTAGATTACTAACCTTTAAACCTCTGTTTCCTCAAGTGTGAAATTGAGATAAGTTTAATACTTCCTATATAAGGCTGCTCTGAGGATTGGTAGAGATAAGATATCTGAGGGCCTTAGCACAGGGCTTGACATATAATACATTTTAATACATGTTAATTTCTATTATTATTACTACCCGGGTAGACATCTGCTTAGGTTTGCTTTTCTACAGTCATGAAAATAATTTTTGGAAATTTCACCTAAGGGTCTGTTGTGACTTTGCTAGTCTGGAACTTACAAATATTTATTAAGTATATAGTAGGTACAGGGCATTTGTTTTATGGTGATTACCAAGGAGCGCGCGCGTGCGTGCGTGTGTGTGTGTGTGTGTGACCTTGGAGAAATTATCTAACTATCCTCAACTTCAGTTTCTTCTACTACAAGTTAGCATAATAATGGTACCCTACCTCCTAGAATAGCTGTGGATTACTTCAGATTATAGCACAAAGTGTGACAGTTGGTAAGTGCTTTATATTGTTAAATCACTTTGATAACCCTGGGCCAGCATATAGTTCTAAATAATCCAAACAAAGTGGTAGAATTCATCTCTTAAAAGTATCATCTGCCTGTGTTTTAGAAAGCTTTCACTTAGAAGAAATAGTTAAATGTTACTTTTTCCCTCCTAAAATCATTTCAGCTTTCTAGGTAATAAATATTTTGTTTTATGGATGCTTCCTTCAGTACATTTAAGAATCCTAAACAGTCTTGTTCCATTTACTTCTCTAACAATTATTAAATTTTATGAAATAACCCCTCCCCTTTTACTCTCTATTGCCTTGCTTAGTTTTTTTCCGTTGTACTCATTGCTTCCTGAAATTTACTATGTAAATACCCCCGTCTGTCGTCTGTCTCCCTTGAACATGTAAACCCCATGGGAACGGGGACTTTCTCTTTCTCTCACGTCAGGGAAGCGACATCTTTTCTTTGTCCTCTCAGGTTCACTGTTTGAGGGCCCACAAATTAAACTGACAAAAGACGTTAGCAAGAAGAAAACAGCTTTTAATCATATATGTATTTAACAAGTAACTTTTTGAAAGATAAATGGACCCTTAGGAGAATAGATGGGAGATAGTTTTGTGACAATGTCTCATTGGGTGTATTACTGATTAGTTGCTCCCAGGGAGGAGATTTATGGCAATTAAGTTCTGTTTTAGTTCTTTTGGGAGGCTCTACTCTCAGGTAGATAAGGAATTTCAAGAACTCAAATGCCTTCAGTTCAAAATAATTTTTATGCCACAGTGGCATGTTCTGGACTCCTTCAGCCTCAGTATTTTGCATACCTAGAGCAGTGCCTGATTCATAGTAGGCTTTTACTAAATATTTGTTGGATGTATGGACAGGTGAGTAATGACATTTGATAAATACTTTCATGATTGATCAATTTGATCAGGGTTAAAGAAAATTGTTCGGAAGGGGGTTAAAATTATACATATAATTTTTTAGTAATTTTGTAGCTATTTTTCCAAAATGACATCTAACTCAACTATTATGAAAAATTGTTTATCTTTTCAGTGACAAATGTGCCAGAAGTTAGGGCTTGAGGTCACTTGATTGTTTTACTGAGTCCCTGTTACTTAAATACTGGTCTGGGTGTTCTAATTTTGCACAGTGTAGAATACAATCTGTCGTTGACTCAGTGTACAAAAGAGTGGTCTTTTTTACACCTTAATATTCTAATATGCAACTAAAACAGTTTTGTAGCAATCCATCATTTTTTCTATGACCACTCTTTCCAAGTCCTTTGTTGGTCTCTGTTTCCCTTTTTGCACCAGCGTATCATTTCTTACCCTCACTTTCTTTAAGCTAAAATACTTTGGAATCCTTCTCATAGAGAGCTTCTGCGATATATCTAGCTCTTTGGAGCTGCTTTAGAATTTGCTACATAAAATCTCTCAAAGGACAATCTCAGTGTTCACCTTAACTTTACACTGATAGTGACTTAACTTCAAGTAGCTGTAACTTGTCTTAAAAGTAAGGAGGAAGGTTGTTTTGCCCTCTACTCATGACTAGACTCTCTTCCCTGCTTACGACCTTCCTCTTCACTGCTTTTCTGTTCTCACTGCTTTTGAGACTCTCTGCTTCTCGTCTTCTTTCTGTATTTGTTATTTCTGGTGTTAGTTGGTTTTTACTCTATTCCCTTCTTTTGGCTCCTGTTCCCTTCCGTCCTCTTGTGCCCTCTCTCCTTTACCCTCTGCCCCTCCGCTCACATTGGACCTCATACCTCTTTTCCCCTTTTCCCCATTTCTCTTCCCTACACTGAGCCCATCTTTCAGTTTTCTCATTTGTCCTAACTGAGCATGATGTAGCATTAAGTATTTTTTCAACATTAATTAGATTTATTGAATACATTAGTTGAGTGTTAAAGTGTTTTATGGAAAAAGAAATGTTATGGGTGGTTCTTAAATGAATTTTTTCTGTTGTTTGACAATACTCAATAGAAGAAAGATTGTCTACCTAACCCTGAGTTGGGTAGAGTGTTGGCTGAGTGCATACATAAGCTGAACAGTTGAGACAAATGACTTAGAATTCTGTTTGGTTGGCAAGATCGGCTGGTCCAGTATTAAAAACCCATCTTGGGGAAGCCACGTGTGAAAAAATTTAATTTATGTATAATGTAAAGATTTTATTCTGCAAATTAGTGAGCCTGACATAGTATGTAATTTTTATTCTGTCCTTGTTACCTGCCTGCTACCAGTGGTTCCACTAAGTATGCATTTGTAATAGGGTGATTTCCTTTTGACTTTCAGTGATATATCACCAAAATTTATTTAGGAAGTGTGATGGAAATTGGAATAAAAGTAAGGAAATTTTAATACCTATATTCTGGAATTATCATAAATTAAAGCAATTCATATAGTCCAGTTTTATTACTTAAAACCCAGTTAAGTGGACCTATGGTTTTATTTAGTTGGTATGATAACCTAGGGAATTTAGTTGAGGATACGAAAATTGAGTAGATTCCCCCCCCAGCAATTTATGCTATGATCTTTCTTTCCTGCTGAAATCTTGTTTAAATTCAACTATTTCCATCCCGTCACATACCAGCAACTCAGAGTAGTGTTATTTTTCAGCAATGGCTTTTCTTAAAGTGGTGTAATCATTCAGTATTTATATTGTATCCTTCTGTTCTTTGTGTTCATAACAGTACAAGTTTTTAAAGTAATACAATAAAGTAACTGGGTAGAAAGAGTTACTTTGCTGAGATCTTACTTACCTAAGATCCCAAAGAAACAGAAAAGATCTATTGACACTTTAACACTAGTAATAATTTTTAAATTTTAATATACTTATGTTTCTGTTCTCACTGCCTTACCATCTCATTTAGAAAAAGATATTAAAATTTACTTGTTTATTTTTTTCTTTTTTCAGGCAAAAGGCAGGATTGTGGTAATGCCAGGTATTTATTTATCTATCCATTCACTAGTGTGACACTGAACTGTAGTGACGGAGGAGCAAAGGAGGCAGGGCAGTATGGGAGAAAGTATTACTACATGGTGTTCAGAAAGAAGAATATATTCTTTGATTAAGATAGTAGATCGCTGCTGGAATTTACAACTTTAGATAAGGAGGAGAACATTCTAGCAGGGATAAGCTCAGAGAAGAGCGAAAAAGGAAGTAGATTAGAATTGTGTTTGAGGATGTTCGTCTCTGGTGAGGCACACCAAGTTTTCCGCTATATGGTGTTAGGGCCAGATGTCCAAGTTGTTAACAAAGTGTAAACAAACATAATATCCCTGGATAAATAATTCCTGAATATCTCTGATCACCACATTCTTCCTTGTAGTTAGCACAATGGGATCCTGTGCTGACAACTATCAGATCAATTAAGAACATAATAGCTCATTATGAACAATTTTTGCAGAATTTAAAAATTTTATCTTTATGCATCTTTAAAAAATAAGGGCATTTTACTGTAATCACAGTACCACTATCATATTTATCAAAATAAACACCAATTCTTTAATGCCATTTAATACTCAGTGAATACTCTCTTTTCTCTAGTTGCCCCCAGCATGTTTTTTATAGTTCATATGTTCAAATCAGGATCCCATCAAAGAATAAGTATTGTATTTGGTTGTGTCTTAATATTGTTTAATATAGAGGTTTTCCTTTTCTTTTTTCTTGTTTTTAAAAAAATGAAATTTAAAAAGTTTGGGCCCCTTATCCTGTAAAATGTCCTACTTTCTGGATTTATCAAATTATTATTTTTTTTATATTGTTTAGCTTGTATTTCCTAGCCACTGCATTTCCTATGAACTGGTAGCTAGATTATAAGGCTTGATTAGATTCTGGTTAAATATTTTGGGTAAGAATACTTTATGGGTGATTCTGTACATATAATATTATATCACATCAGAAGGCATACAGTGTCTGGTTGTCTCACTACCAGTGATACCAAGACTGACCAGGGGTCAAAATGGTGATAGCCAAATAAAGGCCAGCTTTAAAAAAAGAGGCCAGATAAAGAGATAGCGTCAGAAATTTAGAAAAGTTTTTACCTGTAGCAAGTCCCAGAAACGTGAGCAGATAGAAAGCATATGTTATCTGTCAAATTGAGACCCTTTATTAAAGAGACTTAACTAAGTCTAATGCATTCCCATTTAAAACTAAATGTATTCAGTCTTGACAGCTAATAGCCAAACTTAGACAGTTGTTAATATTAAGATTGCCTTTGCTTGTTATGTGATTATTGTTATCTACTGTGTGCAAGGCATTCCTTGAGATGCAGAGTTATAGGAGAAGCTACCTAAGGCTTACAGTGTTAGGTGAAAAGATGTTGTATACAAAAATATTTGTGATTATTTAACAAACCTTACCAAGCAAATTACAGTTCTGTGCCAGGTTCTGTGGTGAATATGGGAAGACAGAAATGAATATGAGGTAATCCTTTTACTTGAGGAGCTTACAGAATATATCTATAAATAAATTATTACAATTTCATGAAAATAAGTGCCAAGAAGCAAAAATCTCTAGTTAAGTCAAACTGAATGCCTAATGAGCATTCATCATTGAGAAATATAAAGATAAATAGAACACAGTAGTTTCCCTCTAGGGACTTTCATAGTGAAGTTTACGACATAGTTAGGCTCCAGTTTCCTCATCTGTAAAGAGTGGGTATTGAACTAATTGTCCTTTTTGGTTCCAACTGTAAAGATGTGTTACTCTGTGTTTGGAAATTGTATTATCAATGTCCTAAAGGTGCTGATAACTGGAGCAACATGGTTTTAGTGGCCAGATATCTTGTTATGTGTTTGAAGGAAATAACATATTTGTCTTTATATCCTTATAACAAGCTCTAAGGTAGGCAATAATCCCTTTTCTATTGGTAAAAAAAAAAAATGAGGCTTAGCGGTTTAAAGTAATTTATCTAAGATAACAGCTGTGCGGAGTTACAGTGGCGAAGCCAGGATTCTAGTCCAAATCTAACTTCTCAGTCTGTATTCTTTTCACTTGTTAGGGCTCAGTGATGCTACAGTATCACATAAAAAAAGTTAACGAGTCCAAAAGAGTGTGTAAAGTCATTACTGCAGCAACTTGAGATACAAAGTACATATTTTATCAGTCATTAAGAATATGCCTTCCTATATATTAGAAGACAAGGATATAAAGATCAAGAAACTAATTTTGTATTTATAATCTGGTATCAGTTGAGAATATGAATCTTTATATATAAATATTTAAGAGATTGTTCATTAAAACAAATGAGTCATCATAAAGTACTTGATTGTGCAGTTTTAATAAAGGAGATTCAGATTCTTCTGTGAAATGAAACAAAAGTTCATATTAAAATAAACTATATAACACCTGGCATTATTCCCATTTCCAGTGACATCTGTGTGATCTCCAAATGCTGGTCCAGAGAGAGAATCTTGGAGGTTCTCTTTCAGATACGTTTCTGAGGCTGTGATTTTGTAGCTTTGTCCTCAAGCCTGTCCTTCTTTTGTTTTAATTTGATTTTTCTTTAATTGAGAAGGAGCAGGGATAGAGCGCTCGATAATTTTCCTTGCCCTACAGTAATCTTTCTGGATTTAAAGTCTGTATCGTATAACATTGTTATATAACCAGTGGACATAGAAGATTACGTCATAGGTTCTAAGACCTTATTAGTTATTCTTCAGAATCTGTAGTTTGTATTTCATCATTCTTTTCTAATTTTATTCTAGCTTAGAAGAGAGAAAATAATTCTTGAATTAATGAGAAATTTCAGTCTGAGGATTGTATACAGAGCAAGCAGTCATTATTATTTATTAAATTTTATGCAAAATTCTATTCTACTTAATGTATTACTTATTTTTTCCAACAGGGGGTGGTATAACAGACAGAAATCTACAAAGAATCCTTGAGGGTTCTGGTGCTACAGAATTCCACTGTTCTGCTCGGTCTGCTAGAGATTCAGGAATGAAATTTCGGTAAAATTGTATTCTTTGACTCATACAAGAAGGGAGGAGATTAATCTTTACTTCACATAGGAAAGCCTTAGTTAATGACATGATAAATGAATGGAATGTTGTGATAAGTACTTGCAGTCATTTTGCAGTTTCCGACTGCAAAATGGTGATGTGAGGGCAATCTGGCTGCTACATCTGTCACCCCATTGATTGCCAGGGTCGATCCCTGATCTGGCTGGCTAGGTGGGTGTCGCCCTCCTCCCTCCCCATTCCATGTGCATCCTTTGCAAAGCTGCACACTCAGTTGAGTATGTATGGCCTTCCTCCATAGAGAAGAGGACCGTTCTTCGGTCAAGGGTATATACAAGCAGCTGCGCTCCCTTGCGAGAACCTCCAAACGAGCATTTGTAGGAGAATGGAGGGTAGTCAAGTTTCCAAGACTCCAGACATCCAAATGAGGTGCTGTGTGTAGCCATCTGTCTTTCTTTAAAAAAAAAAAAAAAATCCACTGCAAAATGGTTCTTTTCCTGCTTTAAATAAGCAGGCTCTTCTAACATAGGTGAACCATTGTATCATTAAGTCATTGTTCAACTTGACCAGTTAATAATATACTAATTTAGCATCTAAGCTTCAGATGAGTCAGATAAGTATGTGTGCTCACTCACCGGTGCTTTCCTTCAGCAAACTTAAACTATGGGGTAAGGATGGGAGAGTCATAGTTATTTTTATCTCTCCTACCTTTAGTACTTAGTCTTCCTTTACCTTTGCTCTCTATTTTCAGTTATTTTGAAATGTTATCACCATTAAGCCGTTGAAACTATTATGTGTTTTTATTATACTTGAGAGGACTCCTATAATTTAATAGTTAGCAGTTGATTATTTATACCCTGGGAAAATGAGATGTCAAGGAAGCAAGAGCTTTACAACTTACTAGATACAGAATCAGTTATACTGTCTGGTAGATTTGGCTGCTAGGTATTTCAAGTAATTATTTAATAAAACTTTTGAAATATAGTAGTCCAGGGTCCTCAACTGACTTACCCTTGTTCTAGGCCATGAAATAGCCTATAAATTGAAGTGCCAGTAGGAGGGCTCATTTAACAATTTATATAATTTTTTTTCCTTTATTATTTCTATTGCAGAAATTCCTCTGTTGCCATGGGAGCCTCTCTTTCTAGCTCAGAATATTCTCTGAAGGTAACAGATGTGACTAAAGTAAGGACTTTGAATGCTATTGCAAAGAATATTCTGGTTTAGCCAGACCTCTCTGAGAGATGTGGATATCACAGGATGAAGCAGAAAAGTAGTGTACAATTCTCTGTGACTCCACTTTAACCTTCTTCTCTGGCCAGGACAGTCATGGTCTTTGTTTTAAGTCTCCCACGGTCATGGAGAACGTTTCCAAGAAGAAAACTTAAAACAGAGCTACCTTTGCTTAATCTTGCCAGCCATCTTCATCGTCATGGTTAAATCTGATCTATGCTTCTGTAAACAGAGGCTTAGTCTGTTTTCATTGGAATTAATTGATGAACTGAGAAAATTCAAGTGCAAGATATGAATTGAGAGTGTAACTTTAGGTACGGCTTCATAGCAGTACTTTGCATTTTCATTTGTAAAATAAAAATATCCATACTACTGTGGCAGTCTCTTATTTTTACCCAGAATAGAGTCTAGCAAAATACGAAAGGGAAGATTTTTGTTTTGTTTTTCCTCCATTCTCTCTTTTTATTATGTATTCATTAGGTGCTAAGGCTACAGAGTAAAATGGTACAGCATAGAAATTCCCGGACTTGGGAAGCAAGATGTCAAAGTTCCCAGACCTTATAAAGGCAGAGGTGATCTCTGGTGTTCGCCAGGTTACCTCTGCCTCTGTTCCCAGATTGGGAAATGGCTTAACCATAACATTCATCTGACAGTTTAAAAAAGCTATAGTGAGAATTGGAGAGGTGAGGGAAGTTACCAAAAGAGCTACTTCTTTCAGTTGAGGCTACGGGTAGGGAGAATGTAATCTAATGGCGAAAGACACTTTTCCTACGAGCAGGTCCCAAATGGTGAAGTTCATCACTACCTGTATCTGTCACTGTCATACTTATAATATCATTTTATAGTAACAGCATGCTGATAATAGAACTGTCATTTCTATTCTAGGGAAGTAACAAGCATAATATAAAGAGCTTGTCTTTGGTTAGGAAGTTAGTTAATGGAGCCTCTGTGAATGCAGTGCACAGATTTGGGTACTTAGGAATGTATATACTAAGAGCCTTGCCTTTATTAAATGTGTCACTTTCCTCACCTTTAAATCTTATTTCCTTTCTTCACCTAATATCAGACACAAGACAAGATGTCCACTCTCACCACTTTTGTTCAACATTGTCCCGGAGGCTCTAGCCAAGGCTATTACGAAAGAAAAAGAATCCAGATCGAAAAGGAAGAAATGAAATGCTCTCCATTTGCAGGTTACATGATCGTGTACATAGAAAATTCTAAGGAGTAGACAGACACGAAAAATGAAAGAACAAGTTCAGCAAGGTTGCAGGATATAAAGTCACATACAAAATCGATTGTATTGCTGTACACTAGCAATTAAAAATCCTAAAATGCAATTAAGAAAACAATTCCATGTATGTTAGCATCAAAAGGATGAAATACTTAGGAATAAAAGTAATTGAAGAAGTACAAGACAGTACACTGAAAACTAAAGCATTACTGAAAGAAATTTTAAAAGACCTAACAAATAAATATCCCATGTTTGTAGATTGAAAGACAATATTGTCAAGATAGCAGTACTCTCCAGTTGATCTGTAGATTCAGTGCTATCCCTAGCAAAATCCCAACTGCCTTTTTATTGGATTGATTGATTGATTTCAGAGAGAGGAAAATAGAAGGAGAGAGAGATAGAAACATGAATGAGAGAGAGCCATTGATCGGCTGCCTCCTGCACACCCCCGGCTGGGGATGGAGCTCACAACCCGGGCGTGTGCCCTGACTGGGAATCGAACCATGATCTCCTGGATCCTAGGTTGATGCTCAGCTGCTGAGCCACACCCGGCCGGGCGGGAGGGAGAATTTTTAGGGCAGGGAAACAACTCCATGTGATACTGTGATGGGTATAGAATGTACAACACCGAGAGTGACTATAAATGTAACCTGCAGCCAGTGGGTGATAATGATGCGTGAATGTATTGTAACAAATGTACCACTCTGTTGGGGAATGTTGATTAAGTCGATAACAGGAGAGGCTGTGCATGTGTGGGTGCAGGAGTATATGAGAAATCTCTGTTCAATTTTGCCGGGAACCTAAAACTGTTCTAAAATGTATTCTATTTTTAAAAAAAAGCAAATGCAACTGGCAGAACAGTATGTATGACTCCATTTTGACATAAATTTGTATATTTATATGTATATGTTCAAATAATATGTATTGATTCAAGTGAACTGTCAATATTTATTATTCCTTGGGCAAGGGAGAGCAGGAGCTTTGGAGACTTTACTTTTTCAGTATACATCAGCAATGGTGGAATAAACGTCAGAGAAGTTTCTGCTGCCCAAAACAGGTTCTGAAAGAACTAATGGAGGTAATTGTAGAACCGTTATCTTAAGTCTTTTTGAATCACTGAGAATAGGAAAAGTATCAAAAGACTGGATGGGGCAAGTGCCTTGATTTTTTTAATAGAAAGGTGCTGAAAATCAAATAAAATCTGACAATCACTGGAAAGGTTTGCTAAATGAAGGACATTGTTGGAGTTTTGAAAGAAAGATGATCATTAAGAACCAGAATGAGTACTTTAAGAACAAACCAGGTG